TCATGTCATTTTCCTTCTTAGATTAAGTATTACATATGCTTTGGTGATCTCTTATCAATTCTGTCTGCATTTAGAATGGTTCTTCCTGTTCCTAGGACTCAGAATTTGACATTTATACAAATACAAGATAAACATGAGTGAGTGTGTTGGTCACAGCTCTGTGCTGTGTTTCCTGACTTTCCCCTCCCGGTGTCAGACTAAGACGCACGAAGGGCCTGCTGTCAGCGTGGCCCTGGCTGCCTCTCCCCCAGCCCCGTTTTGACAGTTGCTGCCACATTACTGGGTGCATGTGGATTAGTAATTAGTATTTCTGTTATGTGTTTTGATCTGTGGTTGCAATTTGTTTCCTTATTTGATGCTTTATGACATTTCTTTCATTGGACTTTAGTGCAAGTTATAGGAAAAGCAAGAGATGCGGTCTGCCTGATCATTGCCTTTCCCCGTCTCTTCTCTCCTAGCTATAGCTCTTTCCAAACGAGAGATTGCCTCACTAAGTCCTCTGGTCCCTAATAGACCGAGCGCAGGGCGGGGGGCTGCGCGTGCCCACGTGTGCCCGAGAGGCGCTCCAGGACTCACGTCTCCCAGCTGTGGGGGCTTCCTGCCGAGGCCACAGCCCTGCGGTCCTGGTCCCTAATAAGAGCGCAGTCAGCAGAGGACAGAAGCCGGCTCACAGGACGGCCCAGGGGCTGCAGGCCGAGCAGGGAGGCAGCTGGGCGTGGAGAGCCCAGGACGAGGGCGCTTCCCACCGCCCTTCAGGCTGGCCCTGGTCAGCTCAGGAGCAGGTGGTGCGTCACAGGAAGTGAGACGGTCACTGTGGTGTAACTCTCTCCTTACAGACGAAAGTATAAAGCAAAGTGTGTCTCCCGCAGGGCTGCTTCCTGATGGCAGGGTGGGTAAGAGTCTAGCTGATGCATCTCTTATAAATCCCACAGGGCCTCAGAGTGGGCAGGAAGTGAGGCTGACTTGTGCTTCCCGATCAAATTGCCATAAAAGGTTATTTCAATAGACAGAGGCAAAATCATAATAAAATAATTCACTAAAAATGGGAGCTAAGAGTATGCTTAATGGAACAAGATTAGATTTAATTTTCTTACTGTTTTCATCATTAAAGGCCCATTATCTTCCCAAAACCTCCTTCGGGCTCCCGCCACACCGCAGCCTTGCTGGGGCACGCGGAGAAGGCAGTGAGCTCCATTAAAAACAAAAATAGCCGATATTACTCTGTCCTTTCATTTCTCGTGGCCAGGGCTGCTTATATTCGCCTTCTCGCCCCGTCTCCCGACAGCTGTAAATACCATCCTCTAAGAGCTGCCCCAGGAAAGGGCTCAGCTCCGTAGGCCAAGGCCGATGGCTGGGCTCTCCCGAGTGCGGATGCGCAGCGGGATCTGGGGCTTCGGACGTCGCGCCGAGATGTGTGTATGAGGATAAAAGCAAGCCGGCTGCAGCGCTGGCCCCTGAAACTGCAGCACTCGGAGATCAGGGCGGTGGAAAGTCTAAATTCTGAAGAAAGTCCTGGAAGACGCTGCGCTTTGGTTTCACATCCTCGGGGATAGGGTGCTGGCCGGCCTGGTTCCCTGGCGGGCAGTGGGGCTCACCCCTGAGGGTCAGGCCCGGTGCGGCCGGAGCGAGGGTTGGGCTGGGGGAGGGCGCAGAGGCCCGGGAGCTGACCACCAGGCCGCCGGGCTCTGCTCCACTGCATCGCTGTCTCTAGTGAGGGCGTGGGGCATCTCCAGCTTGTTTTTAAGGTCACCGAATGCCAAGAAAATGTACATCCTCCGCACTTAAGTTTCAGCCACGATTTAGTGTGGACCCCGGAAGCCTCGGCCAGGGGCCAGCGGCCCTGCCTGAGTGGCTGTGCAGCCGACTCTCCCGGGCTGCCTAGCGCTCCTGGGTCCCCAGCCCCTGACCTGCACGGCTGCACTCGGTGCCCCGTGGCCCCCACGCGCTTCCTGGCCCTCCAGGCCCCGACGCGTGCCCTGCTGTTGGTCCCACCTGCGCCCCCTTCCTGCTGTCTGGGCGAGGTGTGGGCAGCTGTGGGGTCCGAGTGGGCAGCGTGGGCCTCTCCTCCTACAGCCTCTCCAGGGAGGGACAGTCAGTTGTGTGAAAGGAAGAGCAGCCACTTAAATTGAAAGAAGAATCCACTTTGCATAAGGCCAAAAGCTAAGAGTCAGGTAGATGACTTAGAATGAAGAATCCACCAAGCACGTGCAGATTACCTTGCACACCGTCTATTGTAAGTCCTTGTGTATCTGTAATCTTTAATGTGTACCATTTAACTTTAGCTGCTCCTGCACTTCACGTGGGTGCCTTGCTACAAACCCTGTGTCCACATGGACCCTGCGCCCTGCACTGGGAAGGCTGGGATCACCCAGGTGCACCTCTTCCCTGCCCCACCCTGACCAGTCCCTGCCTATGGAGTCAGAGATGGTGTGAACTCCGCCCGCAGGCCTGGGCAGGCGACCCTAGAGAGGGCAGCGAACCTGAGCCCCTTCTATGCCCGGCTCCTGGCCCCGGAGCACACCGTGCGAGGCTGGCATTGTCCCTCTCTGGAGGAAGGGAGGGGAGTACAGCCCAGAGACCTGCCGCAGGCCCCGGCTCCTGTGAGTGGGACAGTCTCCGCCTCCTCTGGGAACTGGAGAAAGGCAGCCTCCGTTCTGAGAATTTGCACATTCTATTACAGTGCAGTATTTCTTGTGTTGATTAGTATAAGTTCTCACCAGGGTGAGTGGGGGGATACCACCTTGTGCTAAGAAAAAAACTTGATTTTTTGTGATTTTTGCCACAGTCTACAAGTAAATGCCAGGCTGACTGTGGTAACCGCACTTCGGAGCATTGTCAGCTTTGCTTAGCAGCACAGTGCAGTCTCCCTGCGCGTTCTTCTCGGCGGTAAGCTGGGTTCGGCGCTGGGCTGCGCAGCGTGGAGGTTTGCCAGAGACCCTCACAGGGCCTCCCCGAGCACCGTGTCTTCACGTGGAAGCGGCAGTGCCCTCCAGCAGCCGTGCCTAGCTGTGCCGATGTTACGTAGTGAGACCCTATAGACCCTGTACTACATACAAAGGTGGAGATAACTAAATAGATTTTAAAAACTGGAGATCTACTGGCAAAAACGTACCGAATGCCAGTGCTTTTGTGAGTGGCTCCCCTGGATCTGTGGAGCAGGTGGGCAGTGCTAGGGTTAAATGGGCCTGGAAGGCAGGCGTTCAGCTAGAGCTCCGGCCAGACAGGTGTCGCCCACAGCCCAGCATCATCTTCTGACCACGAATGCAGTGCCCCAGCCCGCACTGGCCTGTAGATGGAGCAGCCCATGCTTCTGCTGAGTAGCTCGGCATTGTTTAAACTGCATCCTGCACTGGGCCACCTTCCTCGACCCCGCTTCCTCCGCTGTTTTCACGCAGAGCGCCTGCCTCCTGCCGTCGTCATGTCATGTATTGTGTGTATCGAGCGTTGTCTTCTCTCTGCTCTGGTACATGAGGTGTGGATGGGATCTGGCCTTTGTTCTTTCTGCTCTGTTCTGCTGGGTACTGAAAGCAGTTAGTGCCTAGAAAGTCCTGTGCAAAAATGACCGTCCTGGCGCAGCGTGGAGTCCTGGGCTGGGTCTCTCAGCAGGAAGGAACAGGAGTGGGAAGCCGGGAACCTTGGTCACAAGTGCCGGTGCTGTGGTTAGGGGAGGTGTTCACTTGGGCCTGGGCTGAGCACAGAGCCACAGGGACGCCGTACGCTACACAGCTCCTCGCGGAAGCTGTGAGCATGCCAACACAGGGAGCGAAGCTGCCCCAAGCAGCACTTTAAGAAAACAAAGCCAGAGAAAGGAACCCTTCTCCTCCACTCTTGGTGAAGACTGCTGCACACACTGTGGAAATCAATGTGGAACCTCCCCTGAAAGCGAGGCTCCAGCTGGCCCAGGTGTTCCCCTTCATGGTATCCTCTGAAAGAGTGCAAGCACCTGCCACAGCAATGCGTGCACACCTGTGTGTGCAGCAGTGTAATTTGCCATCACTGAATCTTGGAAACAGACGTGCTCACCAACCAGTGCTAGTAAAACAGAAAAAGCAAGCTGCACCTTTCTGTGTGCGCAGGAGAGTGCGCCAAGCGCAGGGCTGCTAGCTGCGTGGGAACTGAGCAGGCCTGAGGGTTACGGGCAGCCGGGCAGGGCGAGGGCTGGCCGGCACCCCCGGCTTGTGCTTTCCGTGGGCCTGCCTCAGCCTGTGCCTGGAGCTCCAGCTTCATCGTTGCTCCTGTCATCTATTTGTAATTTTTAGTAATTCAGGGGAAGAGAGAGAGAAAAAAAAAGCCAGGGACTTTTATGATCCTTTAAATTTCTAAGAAATTGTCTTATAGTGTCTAAAACAAGAAACAGACTGAAGGCAGCTTGGCAGTCTAGGCTCCCGCCTGACAAGCTCAAGGACCCGGTTCGACCCCTGTGCAGTGCTGGCCCTGCCCCAGAGCTGATCCTGCCACCGAGTCTGGGCGTGGTGGCACATACCTGTTGTCCCAGCCCCAGGGAGGCTGAGACAGGAGGACCACTACAAGTCCAAGCTGCGTAGTGAGACCCTGTACCACATATGTAACAGAAAAAAGAAAGAAAGAAACAGAGACTGAAGAGTCACCTATTTTCCCTCGCCTCTGTTTTACTCCGTTTTCTCTGGTGCGTGGAGTACAATGGCGAGGGAAGAGAACACTTCAGTTCCCTAAGCACTGCTGCATGGGAGCCGCACCCTGCGAGTGGTGCCGTGTCCCTCGGGGCCAGGCTGAGGCAGCCAGGACCCCAGCGGGTGCCCAGGACGGCCGAGAGGCCTCCCTCGCCCGCAGCCCTGCCCTTGTGTTGTCTGGTGGGGACTCAGCCCTGGTCGGTGCCCTGCCGGGTGGGGTGCCTGGCGGGGCTTGGGCTGGAGCGGGGCTGGACCTCTGTGCCGCGAAGAGTCTGCGCGCGCACCCCTGAGCCGCGCTGGGTCGCCGCTCTGCAGATGCGGCCTGATAGCAGGCGCTGTGCTCTCTCGCAGGGCCGTCGGGAGAGCATTCTGGGCCACACCACACAGAGCGTCATCGCCCTGCTCAGCAACCTGGTCGCCTGCAGAGACTCGGATATGCAGCTCCTCTACGCGCAGGGTGAGTGCCCAAGACCTGCTCGCCGTCCGCGGGTTGAGGCTGTTTCCTCTTACAGCGCAGCCAGGCAAGAGTGAAATTTACTCCTGGTAAGTCAAAATACGTGATACGGGCCCATAAACAATTACGATAAGACCAATAAAAATGGAAAGGGGTCAGACAGAATAATTTTTCTCAATTCGTTATCTTGCAAGGCTTAAGATCACTCGGCACTGCCTAAAGTGATGATACAAGAAGGAGTGGTGTAGAATTACTGCTGGCAGTAAAAATAAAAACAGCTGTGGCCAAAATCACCTTGGGAGGAGACTGCGCTGGAGAATGGCTTCACTTCTTAGGCACATTTCTGGGCGCCGGTTTTTAAAACCGCGTGCACGCTCTACTTGACAGTAATGAAACTGTCGCTAGAGCTGGCCAGCGGGCAGGACTCCAGCGCAATGACTGTCCGGCCTCTGTTCTGGTACTTGCCCACCAGCATTGCGAGCGAGCGAGCGAGCTTGCTTGCTTTCTGTTTAATGTGTCAGTTATTTAATTAGGTTCTTAGTAAGAAATTTAGAAAAAAAAATTTAGAACACTAATTTATGAGGATAAATTCCATTTGTCAGAGGAAAAACAGATTGCAGGTGCCCCCGGAGCTGAGGAACAGCTTTGAGTTTTGCTAAAATCTGTGAGTCCACCACTTACTGGTCCACCTTGCGCTGCTCTGAATGTGGTGTCTCTCTCCATGTCGAAGCTCTCGCCCTCCTGGTGTCTGGGCTTCCTCAGCTGCTGCTTCTTGAAGTAAGCATCAGTGAGGTGTTTGGGGATTTTCACTTTGCTGATGTGAATTTTTTTGTAGAGGTGGCAATGACAAATACCTGGCGTGTTCTTTGTAGAGGAACACGATTAAGGCTGAGAGGCCCCGTCACAAGCAGCAAGCCACTGGCCAACTGCTGCAGGAAGACCAAGCTCTTGCCTCTGTGACGCCCGGTGAGGATGATCAAGGTGGTGCCGGGAGTGACGCTAGCTCGGAGTTTCCTCACAGGCTGACTGAAGGGTTTCTTGCCGTGGCTCAAGAGCTTTCGGGGCACATCTTCACTAGGGGAGTATCTGGGCATTTTTCAAAGCTTAGCCACCAGGGCACCTCCATTCTTGTCCCTGCCAAATGGTTTTGTGATCACAGCAAGAACTTTCTCCTTTTTCTTCTCAACCTCTGATTTAGCAGCTGTGTACTTTCTCTTGCACAAAGTCTTTCTGGAATGCATAGCAGATCGGGAGTATCTACCAATTCCTCTGACCAGGACAGGATTTCGGCTGCAGTGGGGCTGCCCCTTCTTGGACCTTTTTGCCTTCTTCACCTTACCCTTCTTACCAGTACCACGGCAGAAGCCTTCTGGGCTTCGGGTTCTTCTCTTTAGGGTCTGGCTTCTCAGTTTTTTCGCCCGCCATCTTGCAGGATGGGAAGGAGGAGAGTTCCATTTCTATGTGAAGATTATACTGGTAATATCTTCCCATATGCTAAGATAAAGAGTGCTTTCAGTACTAGATCTGGCAGCCGTTGTGGGACTTGGGTGGTGGAACGCCACCTCTTTGCCACCACAGCATCGTGCTCTGATTTGTGTGAGCAGCAGTGTATTTGACCGGTGCACTCGGTGGGCGGGGTCACCTCCCGTCGGCCGCCTTACGGAGGGCTCTGCAGGGAATAACCTGGCGCACACTCCCTTGCTGTACGAGCAGGGCCAGCTGCAGGGCAAGGCGCTGCAGCTGGAGTTAGCAGCTCGCAGGTGGGGTGCATTTGTCATTTTGCAGGCAGTGGTGTATTAGTCCAAGGGACCCCCAGGTGCGCCTACTGTGCCGCCTGAGGTCTTTGAATCGAAGAGCACTTTCCATTTCCTGCTTTGTTCAAGGTATTTTTGTGTTCTCTGTCAATGTTTTGTAGTATTTTGTTAAGTTTTGCCCATTTCTTATTACGTCAGTGTTATGGTTTGTATGTAGGTGTCCCCCCCAAAGCCTCATGCAGTCATGGGGTAGAGTTTGTGATTAATTCCTGATCCAGTGCTGGGATTATGGGTGTGAGGGCTACACCTGGCCTAAGGCAGTTAGCCTGAGGGAAACGTGAGGGAAGGAGACCTGCCCTCCGTAGCCAGCGTCTCCGAGGCTCCTCCCGTTGTGTGCTCTGTTTTCCACCACCATGAGCTGCCGCCCTCCGCCGTGTGCATCTGCCTTGGAGTTGGCTGAGTATGGACTGAAACCTCCACAAACTGTGAGCTAATAAATCTTTCCTTCGTTAACCTTGGGTGTTGGGTATTTTGTCCCACCAATGAGAGAAAAGTAACCGAGGTAGTCTGTTCCAGGAGTCTTGTCATTTTTGTTATTCGGAATGAGATTTTCCTGTCACTGTGTCTCCCAGGCTTTAAAAAACTGTTTGAAAGCTTTGGTTTCTGTGTGTTGCATTTTGTGTCTCAGCTTTCCGTTTCTAACCTGAGCAGTTTAGGTGGTCCAGGCAGTTTTCCAGCTGTGATGTCTGTGAGTAGTGGCGGCCTCAGCGGGAGCCTCCTGGGCATTTTCTTGCCCCTGTGAGCCCCCTTGCTGGCTCTGCACGTCCTTCTGAGGTGTGGGAAAGCCAGTCTCTTGGCGGTATCTAATTTCTTCCTGAGTCAATCTTAATCGTTTGTCTAGAGATGTTATTTATATTATCTGATTTATTAGCATTGCTCTTTTTAAGTCTTTGTATGTGGTACAGTCACTGTCATCAGGGCTGTGTGTCTCGATGTCCCCAGAGCCTCCTGTGGGTATAGGTGGGGCTTTTTCAGAGGTGGCTGGATCTCGAATGTGTGAGGCTGAGGTTGATCATGTACGGTACTAGGCTCCAAGGCACTAGGAATAAGGGTGGTGCTGCCCTCTCTAAGTAGCCTGGGTGAGGCACTGCATTCTGGGTCCTGGGATGTGGCGCTGAGGTGGACCCCTCACTCTGGCTCTTCCAGTCTCTGCCTCCTGGCTGCTATCATGAGGGGCTCCCCTCCACCATGCTATCCTTGACAGGGAGCCAGCAGATGTGGACAGAAGCCTCTGAACTGTGAGTCAGAATAAATCTTTCTCCTCAGGTTGTGCATGGCAGGTGTTGGACCCAAACAACGGAAGGGTGACTGAGGCAGGCGGCCTCCAGTGGGTGTTTAGTCCTAAGTTTGGAAGTTTCTGGGTGAGCTCTTTTTGCCTCACGTAGTATCTCTGCCTCAAACAGCTATCCTCTGTGATCTTTCATTTATAATCAGGCTTTTCTTTTCTGGAGGGGGTGAGGGATCAGACTAGGGCAATTCTGAGGCGTTCCAGACTCCGTTTCCATGGCAGCTGTGTGGCACTTCTGACAGTGAAGTCCTGTTAAAAGCTTTGTTTCACAGAAATCATGAACGCTTGGTCCAGTAAACTAAAAGCCTATCAGTGAATCCCTTCAGATTACTGTCTTCATAGGCTGGGTGATGCCTATAATCCCAGCAGTCTAGGAGGCTGAGGCAGGAGGATCACAAGTTCAAGCCCAGCCTGAGAACTGCGATCCTGAGGGCGGCAAGGGGCTGGATGGCAGCCTCGTGTGAAAGTGCTGGCTTCAATCCCGTCTCTCACTGTGGCAGAGAATCGGAGTAGCGTAGAAGTGAAGCAGCAGGACCGAGGTGGGTAGGGACAGAGGTCTAGGGGACTCAGGCTTAGGAATTTGAGAAGCTGGGGGTGGGGGAGTCTAGGCAGGCACTGAGTTCAGCTCGGAGCAGGGTGGGAGCAGCGCAGAATGGGGGGGGGGCTCCCCTCCCTAGGCCCTCCCTGTCCTTGCCCTAACCCCCCTTCTCTCTCTCCTTCCTTCTCTTCCTCCCCCGCTTTCTGAACTGGGGGCCTTCCACTGAGCTACGTCATATGGTCCAGCTCAGCTTTGGGTAGGACACAGGTATAGATATGGACTGGGTAGAGCTGTGCGAGAAGCACACACACAGACCTGATAAGGCGGCTTCTCACTCGGCTGATGAGTTGCCCCAGCAGCGCCCTCCAGCCTGTGGCTCACTGGGAGGAGGTGCCTATCACGAGGGTCGCACAGAGACTTGGGTCCTGCAGGGCAGCTCAGGACACGGGCAGGTGGCATCTTAGGGGTGCGGCCGACCGTGAGCCCCAGAGCTGAGTTGTCACTCAGCATGCCTGTGCTGTCCCGGACCTCTGGCTGCTAAGCGTGGGCTCTTCTCCAAGTGGCTGCAGACCTTCTGGGCTTGCAGACCTGAGCAAGGAAGACTTGAGCACCGTGGCTGGGTGGCGAGGGTTGACAGCTGTGCAGCGCGTGGGCCTGGAGGGTGTCCGCTGGTGGCTCTCCGCCTCGGGCGGTGCTGGCGTCGTCATCGGGTTTAATATCACGTTATGCACAGAATTAAATCAGCTCCCCATTGTGAACATAGAGGCTCTCCTGCTGGTGCTTCACGGGCCACCCAGTGAAGCGCCCTGCAGATGGCCGTGGAGGAAGGAGGCAGGAGAGGCGCTTCCCTGCTTGGCGGCGCCTTGTCACGGCTGTGCAGTCGCCAAGCTCCTGAGAGGCTCAGGGTGGGGCACCCTCGCCCTCCACGCAGTGACAGCTGCAGGCACCCACACGTGGTGGTTGAGGAAGAGCCCGAGGGCCTTGGGGGCTGTGGTCAGCAGTGTCCTCCTGCTCCAGGGTGCCACGGAGCAGAGCCGTGGGGAGAGCAGTTCTGGTGATGCAGCATGTAGACGCTTCTTGTGCTCCTTGTTTATAAAGGCGGCAGCTAGGGGGACTGGTCCCAGTCTTGGGGAGCACAGCGGCGAGTGTGCCCGAAGCGGGCGGTGGGCAGAGGGACGGAGGCCCTCGCCTCGTGGCGCCCTCACGCGGTGCTGCCTGTGCTCCAGTGTCCGTGTCAGTAGCGCTTGGGTGTGTGAGACAGCACACCTGAGGGCAGGGCGGGTCCCCCCTTGAGGGCTCAGCACAGGGAGGGCGCCCGCACTGTCACCAGCGTGGAGCTGTATTACTTGACACAGTTTTTTTT